AGCATAATAATTGTGGGGTAGTCCTGTACCGCCTGACAATGTGCACTTTTTATTGCATATTTAATTACTAGTGCCCTGATTTGTAGTCTGTGACTGTGACATGTTAAACCCAAATTCGTCATATTTGTCGACTTTCTTTGTGTGTTTTCTTGCAAGATTTATGGTTGGGAAATAAATTCCGCTCAAAATAAAATGCAGTTGTGCTCCACTGCGTACTACAATCAGAATTAAAAAGCGAATAGAGGGACCTCCTCCTATGAGTGGAGGATAGGGGCCGAGCCCGGCTGTGAATTTCAAAATTCCACAAGTAATTGATGGTCCCGCTTAAACAGTTCATAACAAACAACAGATGCCACAAGGCAAAGCAGCACACGAAGATCCTCAATTCACTTGAACGTAGTTTCTTGGCACCAAGATGCCACAGAGAGTGCAAAAGCAATTGGTTGTCTTTGAAGTCAGGTCATTGGCATTCAGGATTGGCACAGGAGATGTTTTGATTCCTCATATGGAATGTAAATGTGAATATATTTCTATTTTTAAAATGGGGAGTGCCTTCAAGAGGGTCTTTCTGTTTGCATGTTTTATACAGTAAGTAAATGCAATCGTAATAACACAGACACAGAAATAATCTCATTTGATATAGAGATGTATCGGTCACAACAATAGCTGTGTTGCAATGTCACCGCTTGAACAATTTAAATCAGCAAAGTTTTTCGCGTATGCAAACCGTCGCAGGGGTGTGCTGGCCATCAGGAATTCCGGCAGTTTCCCAAACGGCTGGTTAATTTCCAGCTGAGATTGGCCCGCAGCAGGGGCCAGTCCAACCCCAATGGTGCTATCCGAAAGTCACCAAGAGATGCTACCATACACAAACGATAAGTAAGAATCAATTGTCAGTTCATGATGAGTGGCTCGCATTTATTGCTAAGAATTCATCCAAAGGCGCACTCACTATTTGGCAAGCAGGACCAAAAAAAATCTTGACTTTACCTCGAAGCTTGCAACACTGCAGCAATCTTGTGTTGCTGTCTTATTTGGGCCAGACCCAGCGGAGCTGTCTGAATCATGTAAATCTCTCCTTTGTCTGCTTCACTTCAAAAATCACTTGCCACAATTGAAAGATCTCCCTCCAAATGGAAAACAGAGCGTAGAGAGGAAGACATTGGCTGCTTTGGACACAGTGGTGGACATCAAAGCATGGCAGAGGATCCCCCTTTAGAATAGCAGCTACATGCCATTCCAATAAGTGCAGTCTATTTGGATGTGCAGTTCAAACGAGGGCTGGTGCAGGCTGCTCGCTGGGGCCTTGCCACCAGACATCTGGCTGCACAGATGTTTTGAATGCCACTCAAGACCATTTGCCATTTGGGTTGAAGCTGAGGCCAGTTACAAGTGACTGCAGGCCAGTCTGGCTACACACACAAGCGTTACCCGCCTCACCTTTGAGTCAGCACACATTATTGGAGTCACAAGTAGAAGCTGTTGTATGTTGAATATAGGGTGGAGTCAGAGTTGTTTTTCACACCAGCACACGCACACAAATTAAACAAGATATGATTGACGAGTAGACGTTTAGCTTCAATCTATAAGGTGTCGCAGGTCACCATAGCGTTCCAACTACAGTATAAGCCTCGACTTTTTTCACCCTCTCAGTTTCAACACCTGCATCTTAACAACAATGTGGCTTATTTACTTACTGCCCCGAATTTAGGAGTGTCATACTCTTGTCTATTCTGAGCTTCTCTTTAACTCACCAAAATTGCCTTGTCTTTTCATAAACATTCCGATGAGCCCCGCGTTGAAGTGTTAACTTTTTAAATAAAATCCACCCCCATTGAAGCATTTGGATCAGTATTCACTTCTGCTCGACTCAAGCACATACCCTCATCATGGCAAAAATGTGACATTTTGTTGTTGTTGTTGTTGTTGGGCATATTTTATTGGAGCACCAGCAATATTTTATTGGAAAGCCTTGTAGCTTTGATTTGACATCCTTGGTTGCCATCTTAGAGGCCATGTATGAGTATGATCTTTGTCCTCACAAGTAAGAATTTTCACTCCAATTAATAGTGCACTGTGTGCTTTTAAGTTATGCCCCGTTGTCATCGCGTGAGCATGTTCAAATTTGCCAACTGTTCTTGTGCTGTTACATTTGACATCCTTGGTTGCCATCTTAGAGGCCATGTATGAGTATGATCTTTGTCCTCACAAGTAAGAATTTTCACTGCTCCATTAGAACCACTGAGAACTGAACCATAGAACGAAGGGACACACCTACTTATGTCAACTCTCCCTTCCTTTGTTGGAAATGGGGGAAAGCCAATTTTCACAAATATGCTGGTGAATCGATCAATTTATAATGTTATCTTAGTTGCTTGAAATTTTGACGTCACCAAAACGTTTTTTTTTTCCAGTCTATTAGTTTATTCCACTATTGTATGACATTTCTTCACACTAGTCAGAGAAGTTTTGCATACTGGTAGGACAACTGCATGTTACAAATGTGGCAAAACTGCATTAGTTGACATCTGTGCACTACTAGAGTACTACTAGTGAAGCGCTAGATGCTAACTTGTGGGATTTTATCATGTCACTAATATTACTAGTATGCTAAACGGCTCCTACAGGTGTGCGGACAAAGAGTTTACTATCACATGAACCTTAAGATGGATATCAAGGACATCAAAAGCTGGTTAGATTTAAACTGGAGCTCCCTAAACAAATATGCATTTCCCCCACTGTGCTTTGTACAAAAATGCAGCTGCTATGTCTGTGCATGTCAGAGTTTGACTTTCTGCATCATCACAATAGGGACTATTGTTTAACACCCCTACTTGTGCGATGATGGTCTGAGTCATTTTTTTGCAGAAGAGATCTGTTACGTGTCCCACCAGCAGACCGTACAGCCTCACCTTAGCTGTTCACATCTGAAAACAGCTAGAACAGATATGAAGAGGAAATATGAGCCTCCCGTTCCCCATCGCCTGTTGATCTATATGAAACAGCACATTGGCATAACGTCACGGCGTGGAGGGGTGAAGAGACTGTTTTGTATGGTTTCAGGCCCATATAGGAGCCAGATGTGAATATTCACTGACACAACAAAGTGATCCACTCGAACCGTTTGATCCTTTGGGGGAAGCGGGCTGTCTTTTTATTCCACGTCTCTTTTATTCTGTGTTTCTCTCATGGATATGCAGACTCTAAAATGTCACTTGGTAAAGGATATGTATATCTTGCGTCATCTTTTTAAACCATATCCTAGCATTTCATATTGCGAGGGATATGCAGGCAGTTGTAGTTCATCTTGTAACGCTGCGTATGGTACATTTTCATCTTGTTAAGGATATGCATATGACACTGTTCATCTATTCATAATTTTTCATCATGTAAAACATATGTAGATCATCCCGTATTTTCTCATAAAGGAATTTCTTCTCATAAAGCCGCATTTGGTATGTTGTGTATAGTAAAATCCTACAAAAAAGTATTGAATCTTGTAAAGGTTGGGGTTATACGAGTGCATCTTGCACCAAATGATATATACATATGTATAGTATATCACCCCAAGCGTCTTTTAAATGCATACCCACTATTATAAAGGCTCAACAGTGCTATTTCATCAAAAGAAGCAATGCCTAACACACAATTTACTCATTTAAACTGTATTGCATCATATATATGTGAAGAGTGTTGTCAATTAATAGTGCACTGTGTGTGCTTTTAAGTTATGCCCTGTTGAAATCGCGTGAACATGTTCAAATTTGCCAACTGTTCTTGTGCTGTTACAATTTACTTTGCAGTCTTGTTTGTTTGGTGCTCTTCGGTGCACTGTAAAAGGCTACACATGTACAGTTTCATTATGTACAACATGGGGTCTCCTGAAAAGTACCGATAATGATTTTGGAGGCCTGACAATTTGTGCTGTGAGACTTCAACATGGCGGCATGATGGTTAGACGGGTGAGCACGTCCACCTCACAGTGCAGAGGTGCTGGGTTCGATTCCGACTCCGGCCTTCCTGTGTGGGGTTTGCATGTTTTCCCTGTGCCTGCGTGGGTTTTCTCCGGGCACTCCGGTTTCCTCCCACAATCCAAAAACATGCATGGCAGGCTGATTGAACACTCGAAATTGTCCCGAGGTGTGAATGTGAGCGCGGATGGTTTTTCGTCTCTGTGTGCCCCGCAATTGGCTGGCAACCAGTTTAGGGTGTAACCCGCCTCCTGCCCGAAGACAGCTGGGATAGGCTCCAGGCATGCCCGCGACCCTTGTGAGGATAAGAAAATGGATGGATGGATGAACATGTGTGCTGTGGGAAATGATCCAGGTTCACTTAATTCGGACAAAAACGTGTATATATCTATAAATAATGTGTCTTTTTTTTTGTATCGATGCCAGCGACTATAGTGATGGACAGAGCAATTATGTTCTTTTCCACTAAGTATGTGTCTCCATCATTCCAGTGAATACACTTTTTGTGACATCTTTGGTGGTGGGCCGCGAGATTTTTCTATTATAAAATGCGCGCCTTGGCTCAAAAAAGGCAGGGAACATTGTTGGAAAGGATATGCATATCATGCGTGTTACAATATATCCAAGAAATCTTCCAATTCCTTCTTCAAAATGTGATCACAAAGTTGTTTACACAGAGTCAAAAAACACAAAGACAGCGATAACCCTGAGGGAAAACAAGTGTCGACTGGAGCCCATCTGACACATTGTGAAAAACACATTTATCATCCATCCATAATCGTTCCTGCGTTAATCAACTGATTACCCCATTGCAGGAGAATTTGGAGCTCATTGCGTTAATTGCCGGTTTAGGTTTCTGTTGGCTCAGGTGCTGCATACCCCGCATGCTTACCTTCACAACTGTTGCAGTTTGTGTGCGTCAAAGGGAACAAGCTGGTCTTTAAAACATCAACAATAGAGCTGTGAAAAATATGAGACGTCTTCCAATAAAACAAGCCCCAACACAGGGTTTTGAAGGATCAACACACGTCAAAGAAGTAAATGTTTAATGAGCTATTACCAAGAAGAGGTCACTTATGCAGAATCTATGTGACATTAATTCCTTTTCGGGACTGCAATGAATTGTCATATATTGCTGTGAGCTAATTTGGCAAGTGTCGTGTAAAGGATCATTTTGATATCTTATCTCTGTACTTTTATCTACAGGCTAAGTGATTGTGATTTCAGAATTATTTGTCCTAAAAATAATCATAAAAACATCAATGAAAAAAACGTGACTAAAACATGGTTTAATACAAAAGAGGACAACATTATACAAGCCACACCACAACAAAAGGCCTTGATTAAACTAGGGCTGACAAATTTATCACACAGGTTGGCTGGTGTTAAAAAGTTGTGGCAAGAGAGTCTTTACAAACCTTCTTGTTAAAAAAAAAAGAAGAAAAAAAATCTTGCCAATATTTGGCTGGTTTGCTGGTACCCTGCAAGTCTGGACCCTTTTTCACGTCTTACGCAACACATCGTCGTATTTGAATCTACACAGCTGTCTAACACTCTATTTTTTCACTTCTTGTAGTTAGTTGATTCAAGTGGCTAACTAGTTTTGCCCACGAGTAGTACATAACTTATTTCTGGCTTATATTTGCTCTTTTCTTTTTAGGGGTAAGCAACCATATTTGGTAAGTCAGCATACGTCTGTGACAGTGTCATCAATCTCTACAGAATGCCATTCGATTGTGCTGGTGGATGCAATCTTATTCATCCTTTGCATTTACAAACATGCCCACAGAGTTTAACAGCGGGGTGCGGTTTATCCCTGATTTCACCTGCTTGCAATAAGCCATACATGGGAAAAGTCTAAATGCTGGCTTTGCGCCAAGAAAACCAGAACTGGTGACACAAACAAAACCAGCACTGCCAAACCATGCTGGTCAATGTTGTTTTAAGTTTTTTTTTTGGGAGGGAGTTAGGAAGAGAAAGATGACATTTTCAGAACGCAGGCTGGGGGTCCTGAAAGAGAACTGCGACAATGTCAATGTCAAAATGCATGTGCACATCTCTACCTATAGCACTGGTGTTAGTGAATATGATGTTTTTTTTCCCCTGCCAAATAGATGCACATTGCCTGTTTTAAATAGCACCGGAGCACCTAGACACAATCTGCTTGGCAGCGTGGTTAGTCAAGCGTTTGATCATCTGTGTGTGCTTTGTGACTTAAAAGCTATCTTTTTGCTACAATTAGCGCCACGCAAAAGCCAGGCAATCCTTCAGTGAATTTGGCCCTGTGTGTTCTGGCTCTGTGTGGACTTGTGTGAGGTTTTGACACAGTGAAGTGAAGAGGTCAAGAGTCGCCTTCGCCATCCGGCTCAAAGTCATTTTCATTACAGAGGTCACAACAGCAGGATTATTTCCGTCGTGAGAACTTCAGGCCCAGAGCATCTCCCACCTCATCCAGGTGGTGCAGGACCTGAGGACAAAGCAAAGGGCTTGTGGTGTGCTTGTGATTGAGCGAGAACATGTGCGGCGTACCTCGTCCAGCATGTCTTTGGTGTGAGCTGCAGACATGCAGAAGCGAGCGCGGGCTTCGGTTATCGGCGTAGCGGGGAAGCCGACAACCACTACGGCAATTTTCCTCTCAAGCATTTCTCGAGCAAAAGCTCTGGTCAGTGATGAAGAAATAAAAATATCAATTAGTTACATGTGAACGATAGAAAGAAAGCTTTTGTCATGTTTATAAAGTTCAGGGTGTATATGTAGGGAGGGTGCACAATTTTCGGTTGACTTGTCTGCGTGCCTTTCTAATTTGGGTCTTTGCTTCTCAAAAGCAATCCATCCTGTCTCGTCGTGTAACAATGCAGCCACTCCTTCTCAGGGATTGAAATGTTCACGCATGTCAACGGGCACTGGAAGACACATTATACCTGAGTGGGCTCTGCATAATAGCTACCTGATGTTTTCTCTGCAGTAGTCACAGATACGAGTCAACCCAAACAGTACACATGAGTGATTCATGGAAACTTTTAAACGTGGGCCGTGGCGGCCGTTCAAATCACTTCAACATGAAACACGCTGATGTGGCTGAAAATTGCTTGTGACAACAAACAACGCTGAGCATTTAATGCTTGAGAACAGGGCCGCGCACAGTTCATCTGACAAAAAGTGTAGCGCAGCCAGAAAAGAGGGCTGTGGGTACAACTGGAGCATCCTTACACTACTTTGCCCGGCATGTACAACAGGATGGGGACCACGGGAGAGTCGTCGTTGCCGTAGATAATAAAGCCCATTTTCTTCACCTTGGCCCGGAAGTATCTCGTATTCTCAGCCAATTGTCGGATGCGTCTGATACCTTCAACAAAAACAAAAAGAGAAAGAGTTGCATTGTGCGAAGTGATGATGTTAGGATTTGATTATTGCTTGACGGTTGGGGAGTTTGTGTGCAGCTTTACACACAAAAAAAGATGTCCTTTGTAGGTGCATGGCATGTGAAGCAAGGAAGAATCAGCTCATTCCGGTAAGTATATGCGGTACGGAAAATGAATGGATGGATGGTGCCTGATGAACATGTTTAGGTTTAGTGAGCCTTGGTGAAGGTCTGCACTTTTGTTTTCAGTTTGAAAACATGTTCCCTTGTGCTTTTGTCTTGCAGAGACACAGTCAGCTGTCAGCAGTAACTAACGCGACATGATTTCTTATCTTACTACGTGAGGCCTGCACCTCCATCTGGACCCGTGCAGCCTCCGCTATGAAGTTGATGATTACAACTCAGCTGCAGCAGCAGATGGTTCAGTTTTGGCCACAGACGGGCACGCTGTGCATGCATGCACGTTGCCAGACTCACTCCTTGCAGATTGCGACGTATTTGATACAAAATGCACAAGTGCGAGCGTTTAATGCCAAAATGCCACATGTATTTTAGATATCATGACAAAATCAAATATGCCAGGGGTGCCCCCCGAACAAGCCAGCTTGCTATGTGGCTGCCCCAGCTGTGACTTGGAGCATGGTCCTGTTTACCTCTGATTACCTGGGAGCGATTGGAAGGAATGGAAGAAAGCATTTGGAACAATCTTTATCTCAAATGGGGAAAAACACAAAACATGCAGGCATCAACCCAGAAGCACAAGCCGGATTTTGGAGAGTGTTCCTCTTTTGTTGAAGCGAGTAGGAAGGGGCGAAAAGTGGACGGCAAGGATGTCAAAAACCCGATGCCATGACACAACAATTGTAAGTAGTGGGTCAGATTGCGCGTCGGTGTTCTTTGTTTCTCCGTGTTTCGGAGCTCTCGCCAAGAGTTTGCTTTCCAGTGTGAAATTCTACGTTGAAGAGGGCGGCGGAGGGAGACGGTGAGTGATGAAATTAATCTGCTGCAGGCGCAAAGATAAATGAAGACTTTGTTGATGATCAGGTGGACACTGGAGTCATTGTTTGTGAACAAGTGTTTGCTTGAAGACAAGTCTGCAGTTATTTCTTTTGGCTACGTCAGATGCAAAGCATGTTTGGTTGAGAGCCAGACACTCCAGCGTGATTGCCTGTTCCACAGTCTAATCTATTACATTGATTAAAGCACCGCGGAACTGTAGGTGCACTGTCAATGACCTGCAGGATTCCTGCGACCTTTTCACTTGGCCTTAATATTCAGGGGCACAAACTGGGCTATGTTCTACCTGTGCGAGCCCAGTTCTTCAACGAGTCCTGACAACGCAGTGGAGAAGGGGGGGCTGGTTCTTTGGTGGTAGTGCGACTAATGACTACTTCCCTGCCCTCGTGTCCGATGCCATTAAAGCAGAAACTATTCAGAGGTCTACGGTTCCTTAAAACACACGTGAAAATGATTTCCTCTATGTGAGGGTCACGTGTGCTGGGGTACTGCACGCCCTCCGCCCTCCCTTCTTTCTACCAATGCAGACCCCTGTAATTGCAACCATATTCTCGGACCGAGCAGCTGTTTGTCTTCCCTTGCGGGTCTGGACTCATTCCTAATGCTAACATTGGTAGAGTCCTCCGGATTCAGATTGCTTTTGTTTCCATAAAAAAATATGCGCAGGTGTAAAGATTTACATAGAGACGAGCAGATAGTATTTGTCAAATTCAAGCCTACGAGTACTGAGACAGTACTTACCCTCTGTGCTGCCATCATGTCCTGTGATGCACTTTATGGCCCGTATGATCTGCTCGGCAATAGGAGGAGACATGCTCGAGGTGTACATGGCACTGTGGGACCGGCTACGCAGGTAGTCAACCAACTCCTGTAATGAAAGTCCGACGACAACTCCGTCACTGAAACAAATACTGCACAGTATAGGGTCTGAACCTTCATGGAAATCGAGAAATTCTGCAAGGAATTAATGGTAAAATGTTTATAATTGCCTATTGGTGGCACAAGATGGTAGTAAATCACGACTGTTGTCTAATAGAAGCTGCTCAACTCACTTCAATCAGATCCTTGGCAACAAGATGCCAAAATATGGCCTGAGCACAAAAGCAGGGAATAGGTGAGTTTTAGAGAGAGTATGTTCCCAAAGAGAGGGTAGGTTTCCATAAAATTTGTGAATTATTGAATGCCGCCATATAGGGGGTTTACTGAACTTAAAATATACACTGTTCTTTAAGCCCCAAAATAAATACCGTATTTTCCGGACTATAAGTCGCAGTTTTTTTCATCGTTTGGCTGGGGGTGCGACTTATACTCTGGAGTGATTTATGGGTGAAATTATTAACACATTATTATATCATTTCACATGTTATTTTGACATTAAGCCACAAGAGGCCGCTCTAGACCTGTATTGATAAAACCACGATGAGTCTGACGTAAGCGACGTAGAAGAGGAAGCGCTGCATCTTCTACCTCCGGAGTTGGTGGAGTTGTTTTAAAGTGACACAGAGGATGAAGATTTCATTGGATTTAGTGATTTGGAGTGACATTGATGGTTTGGTGAACTTGTTAGCATGTTCTTTATGCTATAATTATCTGAATAACTCTTAATATGTTACTTGAACATACCAGGCACGTTCTCAGTTCGTTGTTTATGCGTCATGTAACTTATTCAGCGTGTTGTTTTCAATTTAGTTTTATTTTAAATTGCCTTTCAAGATGGCATGTATGTTCTTGGTGTTGGATTTATCAAATAAATTTCCCCCCAAAAACTTATACTCCAGTGTGACTTATATATATGTTTTTTTCTTCTTTATTATGCATTTTATGATTGGTGCGACCTATACTCCGGAGCGAAAATATGGTAAATACCTGAAGAAACCTAACCCCAAAGGTGAATAATATTGCCACTAGATGTACCAAGATGGTCGCAAAACATTACTGTTATCAAAATTAAGCTTCTCAATTCACTTAATTCACACAGTTCCTTGACACCAAGATGTAAAAAGACAGTAGATTGGCGGGTTTTCAGTGAATAACGGAGGATCGGTTCCAAAATATAAATGTAGCCAAGAGATGAATTTGCACATGCAGAAACCATGAATATGCAGTGATTCATTCCAATTACAATACACTTTCACTGAAATTCATTAGGCGAAGATTATGGAAGAAATCCATCCATCCATTACCCGAACTGCTTATCCTTACAAACGTGTGTGTGTGAAGTGTGCTGGAGATCGAACTTTCGCACAATTCTAAATTACATTGTATAGCATCACATTATGTGTTAAATGTTGCCCATCGCGGCTTGATCATCCTGAAAGGGGAATTCCCCCATCTGTGGCCCCTTTTCAAGGCTTATTAGTTTTTCCTCGCTCCCCTGTGGGCTTATGAACAAGGGATGTCGTTAATATTTCTCAACTGTGAGATTGTGAAGCCCTCTGAGACGCTTCTGTGATTGAGAGCTCTACAGTACAAATAAATTTGACTTGACTTGAGCACTACTATTATCTGAGCTTGTGAACTGACTCCAACATCGTTCGTGGTACCAAGATGCCAACGGTGGTGGTAATTTTGGCAAAGTACTACCTTTGTCAAAATGAAGCTCCTTAACTCATTTCAACATAGTTCCTTGGCACCAAGCTGCCGCAAGCTGACCACAAATGATCAAATTGGTGAGGGTAGGATCTAAAACCATGAGTGAATAGGTGAATCTAGACAGAAACCTTGAAAGGAAGCCTGAGCCCAAAGGTTTAGAATTGCCGAGAGATGCACTGGCCTAGTTTTGTGAAAATGAAGGTCCTCAACTCACTTCAACATAGTGTCTTGGCACCAAGATGCCACAAGATGGAGCACAAAAACAGCAAACTGGTGAGTAAAAAAGAAAAAAAAAAACCTGTGAATGCCGAACCGCAAATATGCGTGATTCACGATATTTAAAAGATATACTTTCCCCTAAGTTCATCTGGCTGAGAAAATGGAACAAACGCACTTCCAAGCAAAAACCACTAGAGAAAGTCCATGTTCACCCTACACCTGAAGATCAATCCGCACGACTGTTCTCCGTCACCGTAATCACCTACGTCAATGAGCTCTGGAACACCTCCCGGTCTGTACTTTCCGGGAGTCATAGCAGAACACTGAAATGAGCCAGAATGGGGCCCGTCATGCTCATTCTTCTCACATGTCAGCGGGAGATGACTTGAGCTGCTGGTTTCGAAGATGTGAGGAGCAGGATTGCTGCAAATCTATCTGATCGTCTGTCCTCTGAGTGTGGAAAGTGCTCCGAGGTTGGAGCAAACTCAAAGCCATCACGGAATGTGCGGCGACCGGCGGGTGCCGGGTGATGACACGTCGCTGGTGATGATGTCTGGCCACCGCTTCCACTCTCGCCATCTGTCCCCACTGGGCGGCGGCTGCGGCTTCCTCGTGCACATGTGAGGGGAAGGGATTTAAGGGGAAATGCTCAAACGCAGGATACAAATCCCGAACCGACGTTCCATCTGTTTTTGTTTTAAGACTGGGATTTTCACCACAGGATTTCGGTGTGCCCAAGATCACCAATAAGGCCAACATGTCAGAGAACGAACATCCATCTCGCATCTGTTGTGTGGAGCGACAGCTTAAGAGAGTCTCCTTCAGCCGCAGACACAAACACCATTGCTAATGTTGACGGGTGCATCCGCACACGTAGGAGCGGTGCAAAAATAAAATGACTTAAAAGGAACCCAACCATTGGGTTGTTCATGTTTGCTACCCTCATGAAATGCTTCAATCCGCCTGTTTTCCAGAAGCCATGTGGTGAGTTCTTTACTGGTCAACCCAGGAACTCCCCAACAAACAAATACCGATGTATCGAGAAGCTTTATCTAGCCCGATTCATCCTGGACTTTACTACAGCCAGCTGTCAAGCCAGTCACAGCGTTGGTACTTCAAACATGATCGTGCCTGTTAAAGCTGCGTTGTTAAATGTGGAGCACAGTTCCAAGGCTGCCACAAGAAGGGGCTGGCCATCTGCCAGCTGTACCTTCTTATTATGGCTGAGCCAACATAAGGAAAGGACAGGAAGGGTTCCGTTCTCTATCTAATTCAAACAACATGTTTACTTCCTCTGCAGTATTCTAATAAAGTGCCACACAAAAAAAATGTATGTGGTTATGTACTTAAAATGTACTTCTTAATGGAGTAAATTGAAATTACAAAAGCTCGGGCAACATTTGTTGGATGTATGTTGAGCTTTGAGCCTGACGGGTAGTGGCAAAGTGTGTACAGTTAATCTTAAACATCTTGTCAAGAGAACCGAGCTAACACACACACACACACACACACACACATAT